GAGAAGCTGGGAGTAAAAAGAAACAAAGAAAGAAAGATATAGAGAAGGGAAGCTGCCATATTATTCCCCCCAAGTTACAAAAATTCTATACAAAAGTACAAAAAAGTTCGGGGAAGTACTCCGCTATACAGTAATTAGTTGTCTGCTAAAAAACTATTTCTGTGGCGTTCTCAGAATAAGGCAACGCGAGGGGGGTGTTTGGGGGGTGTGGAGGTGGTTTAGACTAGACCGAGAGAGACATTGTCTAACTCCCGCTGTACTGCCGCCCTCACTGGCTCCGACACTGTCTGGGCCAATGACATCTTCACCGAGTTGGTGACAAGGTTGACAATGATCTCCAGGACAAAGTCCCATGTACCCAGTCCGTTGACATCCACCCAGATCTGCCGGATGCGTTCGATACGAAGAGCAGCGATGTGAGGCCTTGCACCAGGTTCCAGGCCTTGTTCCACTTGCAGGAAGGCCGAGATGGCCTGTACTGATACAGAAGCCTGACCTGATGGACCGACACCCATCAGATGAGCACGCCACTCATAGCCACCGCTGAGATTGGAGAAACCCAGATTTGCCTCGAGGACGACGGATTGACCATTGCGATAGGTGATCTCAACTGGACCGGTACGTCTGAGTGTTGACAGACCTCTCAGCTGTCCGTCTTTGATGTATGCCTCACCGTGCAACGATAGGAAGAGCATCTGCTGGGAGAATGTCTCCGTATGATCACGAAGTGGTAGTGGATCAAGGGAATCGTTGATCATTCGTATTGCTGCTTGCTCCAACGCCGCGTCGAATAGTTCAACGGAATCGTTGGAACGCAGTCCTTGAGGAAGTCGTGCAAGCTGGTTGTCTAAGGCCCGTTCCAGATCACTACGAACTGTCGCTAGGAGATGCGGTTTGACACGTGCAAAGATGGCTTCGCTGAGTTGGTTTAAAGCAGCGTTGGAGATGAGGGAAAGATCGCCACCCAGGTTGGCGAAGTAAACACGTACAGCCCGTTGGTCGGCATCCAAGAATACACGGGAGAACCGGGAAGGATCGAGTTCCCCGCGTAGATGCACGGTGATGTCAGATACATTCATCCAGAAGGGACCACCACCAGAGATGGGGAAGATACCAGCAACCATCCCCTGTAAGGAGTACTGTCCCTCCAGACGTAACGCGGGTAGGAACACCAGCGTGGTGGCGTTCATACGCGCCAGGTTCACCCGCACGCTCTCCACGTGCACGGACCCGAGGCCACGTAGCCGCAGGTCCCAGAACCAGCCCTGGATGTCGGAGAAACCAGTGACAGAGGAGACATTGAAGGCTGGGATGGACAGAGGATCCGTCACGTAGGACCGCAACACAGCGTCAAGTCCTCCTACAATCACACACAGAGAACTGTCAGCCCCTCTCAGCCCAAACTTCAATAGAACACAAAATATGGTCACATATTACAAGTCATGTTGTCACACTTACATCACAGAAAATACACTCATGGACAAAACTAAAGGAAGTTGTTTGCTGAAAGTGTTGAAGGGAAAGCTCCAGGGAGAAGAGATCGAGGGGAAGGAGACGACAGGGAGACGATCTAAAACAATGGACTGGACGACACGAGGAGATGAAGAGGATGGCGGAGGAAGTATGGAGAGACCATGTCCCTCAGTAGAGGAAGTCATTGGAGGAAGAGGAAGTTGTACCTTTTAGCAGGGTATATCAGGATTCAGACAATAACTCTGAAAGATATTACAGTGACCTTTATTGAAGACACACGAGATAACTAATATACACTCATGGAGACAAACCTTAAGGAAGTTGTACCTTTTAGCATGTATATCGGGATTAAGATAATAACTCTGAAAGATATTACAGTGACCTTTATTGAAGACACACGAGATAACCAATATACACTCATGGACAAAACTAAAGGAGATTTTACCTTTTAGCATGTATATCGGGATGGAGACAATAACTCTGAAAGATATTACAGTGACCTTTATTGAAGACACACGAGATAACCAATATACACTCATGGACAAAACTAAAGGAGATTTTACCTTTTACCATATATATCGGGATTCAGACAATAACTCTGAAAGATATTACAGTGACCTTTATTGAAGACACACGAGATAACCAATATACACTCATGGACAAAACTAAAGGAGATTTTACCTTTTACCATATATATCGGGATTCAGACAATAACTCTGAAAGATATTACAGTGACCTTTATTGAAGACACACGAGATAACCAATATACACTCATGGACAAAACTAAAGGAGATTTTACCTTTTACCATATATATCGGGATTCAGACAATAACTCTGAAAGATATTACAGTGACCTTTATTGAAGACACACGAGATAACCAATATACACTCATGGACAAAACTAAAGGAGATTTTACCTTTTACCATATATATCGGGATTCAGACAATAACTCTGAAAGATATTACAGTGACCTTTATTGAAGACACACGAGATAACCAATATACACTCATAGACAAAACTTAAGGAAGTTGTACCTTTCAGCATGTATATCGGGATTCAGACAATAACTCTGAAAGATATTACAGTGACCTTTATTGAAGACACACCAGATAAAACCAAGTGTTAGCAAAATTGCCTCCGTCTCCTTAAAAATAGACGACCGGCGACATCAAAGTCTTTCCACTTCTTTATATTTTGTCCATGAATGTACTTTTAAAAGGATATGTGTGTTCCTCTATCACACACATATATACCAAAGGAGGCACCTCTCCCTTTAAAATTACATTAAATTACAATACATCTTGTTTCAACACCGCAGTACAGAACCTATGTTGTCACACTTGCATCACAGAAAATATACACTCATGGACAAAAAGTTAATAAAGTTGTACCTTATAGCATGTATATTAGGATTCAGAGAATAATTCTGAAATATATTTGATATACAGTTATATTTATTAAAGACACACCAGATAACCAAGTGTGAATAAAAATGCCTCTTTCTCCTTTAAAAAAAAAAAAAAAAAAAGACGACCGGCGACATCAAAGACTTTCTACTTCCATACGTTTTGTCCATTAGCATACATTCTAATAGTGTAATTTTAAAAATATATGTGTGTGTTTCTCTATCGTATACACATATACGAGGTGTGTTCAAAAAGTATCGCGAATTTTGAATTTTCGCGGGTTACGTATATTCGAATTTCGATCTTTTTGTGGCTTTATGTTGGTACTCATGTCTCTCACTTATGCCGACAAGCTCGGCCATTTTGAATGTTCACTTAATTGTTAACAGCTGCTTTGTTTGCAGGTGTTTTGGATCGTCTTCGATTTTTACCTATTAAAAAAATGGATCAAAGAACCTGTATCTAATTTTGTGTGAAAAACGAAATTAAGTGCGCGTATGCATCCGAATGTTGACTGTGGCATACGGAGAAGCTACCTTGGACCGAAGCAACGTTTATCGGTGGTACAAAATGTTCTCAGAAGGCCGAGAAGATGTGAACGACGAAGAGGGTGCCGGACGCCCGAGCACTTCAACAACAGACGAAAAAATTATTGAAGTGGAGAAAATGATATTGGCCAATCGTCGAATCACCGTTAGAGAAGTTGCTGAGGACCTAAACATATCGATTGGCTCGTGCCATTCGATTTTTATCAATGATTTGGGCATGAGACGGGTCGCCGCGAAATTCGTACCAAAATTGCTCAATTGCGACCAAAACCAGCATCGCATGAACATTGCTAATGAGATGTTGGACTCTGTCCGCGACGACCCAAATTTGCTCCAGAGGGTCATAACTGGTGACGAAGCGTGGGTTTATGGTTATGACGTGGAAACCAAAGCTCAATCATCTCAATGGAAGCTGCCGCACGAACCAAGACCGAAAAAAGCGCGCCAAGTTCGGTCGAATGTGAAAGTTTTGCTGACAGTTTTCTTCGATTGCAGGGGCGTGGTGCATCATGAGTTCTTGCCACAGGGTAGAACGGTCAATAAGGAATATTACCTGCAAGTTATGCGCAATTTGCGCGAAGCAATCCGCCAGAAACGCCCGGATTTGTGGAAGAACAAAAATTGGCTTTTGCACCACGATAACGCCCCTGCTCACACATCGTTGCTTGTGCGCGACTTTTTGGCCAAAAACAACACACTAATGATGCCGCAGCCGCCGTATTCCCCAGATCTGGCCCCCTGTGACTTTTTCTTGTTCCCCAAACTGAAGAGGCCCATGAAAAAACGACGTTACGCTACGCTTGACAAGATAAAGACGGCATCGAAGGAGGGGCTGAAAAAGATTTTTTTTTTTATGATTTTTTGAAGTGCTTCGAAGATTGGAAAAACCGTTGGCACAAGTGTATAATATCTCATGGGGATTACTTTGAAGGGGACAAAATAGGTATTCATGAATAAATAAATAATTTTTGAAAAAACACAAAAGTCGCGATACTTTTTGAACACACCTCATATATATACCAAAAGAGGCAAATCTCCCTTTAAAATTACTTTAAAATTATATTATATTTTAAAGGGAGTGCCACTTTTAGCATTATATATATGATTAATTTGCTAGGACATTATTCACTGGACAAACATTCACCGGGTCATATGCCAGTAAATAAATTACATATTTACATATTACATATTTACATATATAGGGGATATAATAGGAGAGAGAGGATTAGCAGAAATGGGAGTAAAATAGCCATAAGACTAATTACTCTAAAGTTAATAAAGCAAATGTCATTCAAACCATGGGTAGCAATTAGTTATGAATAGTTAGTGACAGGTTGTCATCCATTAACTACCCCCCAGCAGAATGGTTATTTACATAGCGTGTGCTAATGTATATCCATTCATTCATTGTTGATACATGTTTACATTGAAGGTTGCCTGGTATTCATACTTCTTAGAATAAGAGACACGTCGGCCAGAAAAAAAGATCTTATTTTCTCAAAACCTTTTCTAACCGAAGTGCCTCTTATTTTAAGAAACATATTTACATATTCGTAGCTCGACGTTTCGGCAGTTTTATTAGCTCAGGGGGGTCGGTGGAAGACTGGTTAAACCGTTTGGTTTTCGACCAGTATGATCCGGGTTCGATTCCCACATTGGACACTTTTTTTTCTGTTGAAAAATAGAGGCTCCAATGGCCCCCGATTCTTGCAAAAGTCCAACCCCACCGGCGAGTGCAAGTAACCAAACGGGGCTCTGGCACATTTGTAAGTGCAAAGTCGAACTGCTTTTCACATGTGTAGACATGTGGTGCGCTTACAGTAAAAGCAGTCACTAACTACCCACCATGATTATCATGGCCTGTACCACGTGTAATAGGGATAAGCAAAAAAAATTATCTCATTATTTTATAAATCAGACCTTAGTTGCATATGCAACAATACATTTAAAGAACAATTAAGTCTAAAAATTCTTCGATGTAAATTTAAAGCGACTTATTCTCACGCCGCTAAAATTTACCATTTAAAAATAACCTAAAACCTTTCACAATAAGTTTGTTTATTGTATAAATAAAAAAAAAAAAAACTGCGAGCTTTCGAGATCTCGTTCTTCTTCAATAGGCAAAATTCCCATATGTAATTCTGCCTGTTGAAGAAAGCGGGAACTCGAAAGCTCGAAATTTTTATAATAAACAAACTTATTGCAAAATATCTTTCTATAATTTTATAATGGTATATCGCAATTTTCTTATATTTAATTACAAAATAATAATAATAATGAGCATCAGATCCCTATAGTACAAACCTCCATATATATTTAGTAGTCAAATGACATATTAAAGCGATATGGTAGATTAAACTGGCGAAACCGCTGAGGATTCACTACTGATGAGCCAGGCCAGTCATTTTCATCGAAATTAAGGATAAAAAGAAGTTATGTTATTCGAAAAGGGAAAAAAATCCTTGTTAAAAATGTGAAACTTTTATGTACATAAAGTGTACCAAAAGGGGCACCTCTCCCTTTAGAAATGCACCTAAAACAAAAAAAAAATGTTTTTCAACCCAGTACAGATCGTAGGGGTGGTGATATAGAATGTACCACAACATTATATTTGGGTATTTAAAGCCAAAAGAGAACCTGTATTTAGCGCATTTTTTAAAGTACACTCATCAACAATATTAAATATTAAAGTCTTTGATATCACCGGTCGTCTATTTTTTTTTTTAAAAGACAGAGGAAATTTTGTTCACACTTGGTTGTCTCGTGCGTCTTCAATAAAGGTCACTGTAATATCTTTCAGAGTTATTGTCTCAATCCCGATATACATGCTAAAAGGTACAACTTCCTTAAGTTTTGTCCATGAGTGTATATTGGTTATCTCGTGTGTCTTCAATAAACGTCACTGTAATATCTTTCAGAGTTATTGTCTCAATCCCGATATACATGGTAAAAGGTACAACTTCCTTAAGTTTTGTCCATGAGTGTATATTGGTTATCTCGTGTGTCTTCAATAAAGGTCACTGTAATATATTTCAGAGTTATTGTCTGAATCCCGATATACATGTTAAAAGGTATAACTTCCTTAAGTTTTGTCCATGAGTGTATATTGGTTATCTCGTGTGTCTTCAATAAAGGTCACTGTAATATCTTTCAGAGTTATTGTGTCAATCCCGATATACATGTTGAAAGGTACAACTTCCTTAAGTTTTGTCCATGAGTGTATATTGGTTATCTCGTGTGTCTTCAATAAAGGTCACTGTAATATCTTTCAGAGTTATTGTCTCAATCCCGATATACATGGTAAAAAGTACAACTTTCTTAAGTTTTGTCCATGAGTGTATATTGGTTATCTAGTGTGCCTTCAATAAAGGTCACTGTAATATCTTTCAGAGTTATTGTCTAAATCCCGATATACATGGTAAAAGGTACAACTTCCTTAAGTTTTGTCCATGAGTATATATTGGTTATCTCGTGTGCCTTCAATAAAGGTCACTGTAATATCTTTCAGAGTTATTGTCTAAATCCCGATATACATGGTAAAAGGTACAACTTCCTTAAGTTTTATCCATGAATATAATTATATTTATATATATATTGCCACGTGGAAAATTAGGGAAGACCAACTTCAGGAGGAGACAACAATTTATTTCAGGGAAGAACAAACTATGAATGGTAAACAAAAGATAAGCCACGAGGGAAATTTACAGAGTAGCAAAATATAAACATAAAAATAACCATTCTGTTAATAAAAATAATAAAATTAATAAATACTTTGTTAAAATATTTTGAGTTATATTATTATATATTTGAATAGTTATATAGCTGTAATATAGACTAATGCACGCCCGTGCGTGTACCGGCCATTATTCCCTTTCTTTTGTATTGTAAATAGCCTATTTTTGTTGCAATATTTATTATTATTTGATCGTGGAAGAGCAAATTTGCTCGAATGATTGCAACCCTTCAAAATATACATTTAAAGAAGCGTTTCAACCAATTTTACTTATTTAAACAGAAATTGTGAGAGAGGTTTAAAAAAAGGTAAAACTCTCAACTTTGCATATTAGACACACTATGTAAATACACCGAGGTAGAACGTCCCAGAATAGAATATGCAAATTGATCGCGTAGGAATCCGTAGTGACACGGGAGGTGTGGGCAAATATTAAATAGTTCCTGAGGTAAAGGATTCCATTTGATTTCTCCGGATATCTCCCGCCTTTCCTTTATTTAAATCGATACATACCGCCTTGCCGAATCCATTTGCAGATAGCTTAAACATTTCATGTCATATATCTTCTAAAAACGCGGTATAACTATACACTTATGGACAAAACTTAAGGAAGTTGTACCTTTTAGCATGTATATCAGGATTGAGACAATAACTCTAAAAGATATTACAGTGACCTTTATTGAAGACACGAGATAACCAAATGTGAACAAAATTGCCTCTGTCTCCTTAAAAAAAAAACAGACGACTGTCGACATCAAAGACTTTCCACTTCCTTAGGTTTTATCCATGAGTGTTTTGAAAGCCATTTTTTCAAGCTTACGAGCTGTCTAACACCCACGATAAGGTAAGCTTTATTCTCTAAAATCTCTCACACTTTCAATAAATCTTTTTTTTTTATAAAATAAATAATATTCGAAGAGAAATTGAAGTATCAAAACACAATTTACACTTTTCAAAAAAAAAAAAAAAACTCCTATTGTTACAAACTACGATAAAAAAAATATTGGGAGGGCTTATCTCATTAATGGTGAACCCTTTCCAGTGGTTTCGCCAGTTTAATCTACCCTACCACTTTACTATTGTATTGAACCATTCTGCTTATATATACGACATTGTAGGAATAAATCTTGGAGACATGGTATTTATTTAATTAAATTGCAGACAATATCTTTGTTGACATTAGAATTCCATGCAAATAAGACACAAATAGAAAATAGAAAAAATATATTTTTAATTATCCCAAGTACACGTGGTACAGGCCACGATAATCATGGTGGGAATAAGTTGGCGACTGCTTTTACTGTAAATGCTACTTTTTACATGTATAGACATGTGGTGCACTTACAGTAAAAAGCAGTCACTAATTTCTACCTACCATGATTATCATGTACTGTACCACGTGTACTTGGGATAATAATAATTAAAAAATTGTAAGTGCACCACATGTCTACACATCTAAAAATCAGTTCGACTTTTGCACTTACAAATGTGCCAGAGCCCTCTTTGGTTACTTGTACTCACTAGTAGGGTTGGACTTTTGCAAGATTTAGAGGCCAATGGAGCGTTTTTTTTTTTCAATTAGAAAAAAAAGTGTCCAATGCGGGATTCAATCCTGGGTCGTAGCGGTCGAAAACCAACGGTTTAAACCATCCTTCAACCGACCCTCTATATAAAAGAAGGTTGTGTACATCAGGAAGCAATTCCTTCCATTACAAACCAATCACCTAACCCTCTAATCCGATTATGGCATGCCTTTCATCAAGGGCATAGTAATTGCCATAGTAATCTGATAAAGAGGAAGATATAGAGGTGAAGATGATTGGCCATATACAATCATTTTATTCGTGATCGAACGTTGTACTGTACATATTACATCCCAAACACGACACCAGCCATCTCTGTATTGAGCACAATGTACCATCACGGTGACCGTAAAGCCAGTGAGTTCCTTTAATTTGTCCACGAAGCGTGTCGGTGAGCGTCCAGGTATGTCTCGCCCAGACATCTTTCCAGTCAGTATGGTGTACTCCATTCCCCTGTGTCGCGCGATGTGACCGAAGAATCTCAAACAATTCCGTTGTAGACGCCAATTTGCATATTGGCTATAGACATCACCAAACCTAGCTTGGAGAATTGTAGATATTCTGTAACTCATTACTACGCTACAAAGTTTTAATTATAAAATTAATCATGATTGTAAACCCTTCGAGATTTCTTCTACGGGTCTGTTTAAAATAAAATACTAGTGAAGATAAATACACTCTTGGACAAAACTTAAGGAAGTTGTACCTTTCAGCATGTATATCGGGATTCAGACAATAACTCTGAAAGTTATTACAGTGACCTTTATTGAAGACACATGAGGTAACCAATATACACTCATGGACAAAACTTAAGGAAGTTGTACCTTTTAACATGTATATCGGGATTGAGACAATAACTCTGAAAGTTATTACAGTGACCTTTTTTGAAGACACATGAGATAACCAATATACACTCATGGACAACACTTAAGGAAGTTGTACCTTTTAACATGTATATCGGGATTGAGACAATAGCTCTGAAAGATATTACAGTGACCTTTATCAATGGAATATTCACAATCTACCAAAGAGGGGTTTAGCTTGAAAGTGGCTAGGCCAATTTTATGACCAAAATATAGATGGAAATTTCGCCGAACTGATCTATAAAAATAAAGATAACCCTTCCCGTCAAAATAGACACTAAACCTAAGCGCCATTTATTCAAAAACATTTCCATCTAGACTCCTATTTGTGTTGCATTCTGGTTTGTTTACGGCGTGTGTAGGTATTAACAGGGGATTCGTCTGCCTTGATGGGATTGGCTAAATCACGTCACGTGATCTCCCTCAGGTGTAATTTGCTTTTTTTCCCCTATTCTCCTTTCTCGACATGTTTTTTTCTTTAAA